TTAATAAAATTAGTCAAATCAGATTCTGCGTTTAAAGAGTTGTGGTGTTCCATAAATGAATCAAACACATCAGGTGCTTCAAAATATTTCCTAAACTGAAATTTAAGAGGAAGGATTACACCCTTAGTTTTTTTTTCATCAACAGTATTTACATTATGTAAAACGACATTTTGTATAGTATTATCTAAGGTTATAATATTAGATTTTTCGTAGAAATCACTAGTTTGTAAAGTATTCAAAAATTTGTATTCTGTATCAAGTCCTTCAAATGGATCATTACAGAAATTTATTATTGATTTAAATGCATTTTTAGTTTCTTTATCTAATATATCATTATGAATTACTATTTTGTTAATTTCTTTAGAAATTTTAGATGTAATCATTTTAGTTATATTCTGTTGAAGTTCTGTTGCATCCTTTCTAGAGAAATTGAATTTACCATAATATTGAACAGAAAATTGTAAGACAGCCTTCTTTAATGCATTTAAATCTACATTGTTATTTTTAATAGCTGGATTATTAGATAATATATTAGATACATCAGTAGTCTGATCTTTTAAATTATTAGGCAAATACGTGTCAGTATTATATGATAAGCTATTTTTATAAATTACTTCTGAAGATAGCCCTATGGATGTATGTTTAAATTCATTTCTAATATGTTTGGAAAATGACCTAAATGATGAAAAGGTTTGAAAGCAATTAGCAATACCACATTTGTAAATACTAGTAGATGTCAGGGAATGATAAAACTTCAAATGAGATATATATGGATCTAAATTTGAGAATTTATTTTTACAAACAAAACAGGTTAAATACATAGTAACTATTTAATTTTTAAGATCAGATATGATTTGTTCAAGTGCTGGATTTTGAACATCAGTAGTACATTGTATTTCATACATAAATTTTTGAAAAAATGTCCACACCAGTACACATTGTGAAGGGTAATGTAAGTTAAAAGTGTGAAAAATTTTGAAACATATATCTAATGCTTTTACAATATTAGAAAATTTGTATAAAGTATCAAAATAATAAACAAAATACTCTTTTGCTATCTCATCATCACTTGTACTTACAACACAAATCAACGGCTGTAAAGATTGATTATTTTTGTAGCAATCATCAATTTGAACTTGAATTTGCATATGAAGATCATTCATTGATGGCACTTGGAGTAAAAACGCTTTGCGGCCATCAGCAATTGATGTCTTAACAATTCTCTTTTTATTTGTGGTATTATCTTTTACACTTGTTCTACTTGTAGGAACCAACAACGAGTTCATTAAATCTAATATTATTAGATTCCTTTTATCTGTAAGAATTAATTGTAATAATTAAAATAATATTAACTTTTTGATCTCAAATATTTATTTACCTAGATTTGTATCACAAAAATGTTCAACTTGGTTCAACAAATCTCTGCTGTAAGCATCCTTAATTGTACTCTTCATCAATGGTACAATTTTTTCAATAAAACTATCCCATTTATCAAAGAGCAATCCACCTTTCCCAGAGTGTAAAACATCAAAATCAATATCAATCTGAAATAAGATCATTAAAACAATTAGTATAACATGCTCTTTAAATGTAAAATGTTTAATTCATTCTTTAGAACGTTGGGCTCCAAATCATTTTAACTCAATACTCTCTTTAGGTTGATGATTTTGGTGCGAGTAAAATTATTTCTGGATCTGACTTTAAAAACTTTACAAATGATAAAAAAATAACTCTAACTAAAAAGCTCCCATTAAAATTAGAAAAGCCTATAAAGTGCTGACGTTAAGAAATAATGTTTTAGAAGAAAACATTAAATATATATTAAATGGGGAAGAGCACAAATTATTATATTATTTAATATAACTCATTTACCAACTGATGCCCAAATGCTTGTTTGTACATTGGCCAATTTTCAATGATGTCAGCAATATTAGTAGTGTTCAAATGAAGAAATTGCTTACGATACTTGGAAGTTTCTTTCCACTTAATTAAAATGTCATCTAATGGTTCCACATTAAATTGAAGCCATTTTTTAGTGCTTATAATCGTACTTGAACCTATATCTAATGATAAATTTTTGGTACCTATAGTATATGTACATTTGTATTGGTCTAAAAAAAAACAATTAATGACAAGTAATAATTAAATTTACCATCAGTGTCTTGAGGTTTATTTGAGGTGTCTTCAACTTCATTAATATCAAATTTTTTGGGACTCCATAGTTCATGACGTCTCAGTTTTGTAATAGTGTTATGGTACTTCTGGTAGAGAACACCTTTTGGCCTACTTGAGGGTACTTTCATGAAATAAGTTTCCTGGTCAACATAAAACATACTATTAAATATTTTGTAAATATTTTAATTGTCTATGAACTAACTTTAATTTCTGATTTAAACAATGTAACAATGCTGTTTGAAACCTGTTCAAGAAATCGGGGACTTGCATGGATTTTATTATGAATTAAATACTCAATTACAATTTCAGCAACAGTTTTGCGACAAGGATCATTTAGCTTATTGTTCATGGCATAAAACGACAAAACAACGCTTCCTTTTCCGGATGTTTTTAAAATTTCTTCAATATCTAGCTATATATAAATATTATTTTAGAAATTGGTACTATTATCAAAGTTTACTTTTAATATTATGTAAATAATATTGGGTACCATTCTTATTATTTATTAAATTATATTATGCCTAATTTTACTTATTAATTGTTATAATGAATTAATATTTAATATTATCTATTATATTTTGTTTTCATTACAACTATATTTTCTAAATTAAATATTACATGTTGATAATCAGAGGTGGGTAGATACTGTTCATATTATATTAGTAGTGCGGAGTGATCTTTGTTGAGCATGTGGTGATTGATTTATTTGTATTGTTAACTATATTTTATATATTAACTAGTTTATTAAACAATTTCAAGTACATTACATGACATTAATATGACTTATTAAACAACTTTACAGTTTACATTAACATAACACGAGGCGACGACACGCACTAACTTCAGACTATCTTACTCTCCGGCATCGGATGTCGCCAGTCGCCACTCGCCGCAATACTGACTTGCTCCTCGTCCATTGCCTCTAGCCTCCTCACCGTGTGCAGTGCCGCCACCCTTAGCCTCACATATTAATTAGATAACACCCGACCACTCCTGACCATCGTTCGTCCTCGAACTGGCCAGTAGTGATCAACATGACAAGTATTTAACTTCAAGCTTTACTTACAACTAACATAATGCCACCATTGACTTAACATTCATGGCATAGTTCAATAAAAAAAAAATTTAACATAGTATTAAATATAAAAAAACAATAACACAACTAACATGATTAACTTAACGTTCATGACATAGTTCAATTAGGAATTTTAACATAGTATTAAATAAAAGGAACAATAACACAACTTACATGATTGACTTAACATTCATGACATAGTTTAACAAAAAAAAATTAACATAGTATTAATACATTTGATAGTCTTGGAACCGCCTTGGTACCTTGACCTCCCTCCGAGTCCTTTCCTTGACCTCCTTGTCTGCCTTGTTGTCCTCTTCTGATTCATCCTCTTCCTCTTCCTCTGGTGCTATCTTCCATGACTTCAGTTGGCTCACATGCGCTGTGGTTGTAAAATGCCTTCTGGCCCCTTCTGCCAGCTGGGCTACTCGATATACATCTCCTGGTAACACCTCGGTCACTACTAGAGGTCCCTTATATTTTTCTTGCAATTTTGTAGACTCACCGGTGTGAACTGGTGTTCTGCTCAGAACTACCACCTCTCCCACAGTATACCTGATGTGGTCATGTCTGTGTTTGTCGAACCTGGCCTTAGTCTGTTCTTTTTCTTCCTCCATAGCGCCACGTATCTCTTCTCTTAACGTTTCTGGACAAGTCCAGTCTTCCGTAGTAGTAGACAGTTCCCTTAGCTTACCCAAGTCATAACGTGGTCGATAACCATGCAACAACTCAAACGGAGTTCTCCTGGTGGTTTTACTTTCGGAATTGTTTATCTGCCTTAGCACCATGGGCAATAGGTCACTCCACTCTTCAGGTTTTTCAACTTGAGTTCGCAGCATTGATGTTACTACACTGTTAACTCTTTCACACTACCCATTGGCCTGCGGTCGCCTGGTTGAAGTTAGCCCAAGCAGTATACCATTGTCTTCGCAGTACTCTGTGAAAACTCTAGAAGTGAAGCAGGTACCTCTATCTGTGATTAATCTCCTAGGCAGCCCATATTGTGACACAAATTTTTGCACCTTTGCCAATGTGCACAACGCGCTTGTATCCTCAGCTGCAAATAAACAAACAAATTTTTGTGAAATTGTCTACCAAAACCAACACATACTTGTTTCCCTTATGACAGGTTACAAAAGGACCTATGTGGTCGGCATGTACAATCTCAAATGGTCTTCTTCCAACTGGCATCGGGTGTAACAACCCAGGACGCCTCACTCGTGGTGTCTTCATAATTAGGCACTCTAGGCACATGTGGATGTGTTGTCTTACATACCGTTGCAACCCTGGGAACCAATAGTCTTGCAGTATATGGCTTACCATTTTATCCACAGACTGGTGCCCATTCAGGTCGTGTGCGCTTACCAGTATGCTTTTCCTCATGCTCCGTGGCATCCGGAACAGCAGTTTGTCCTTACAGCGTCTGTACAGTAATCCATTCCTAATCTCGTAGTGCCTAGTCTTACCGCTTTCATATTTGGAATCATGTACTGAATTCCCAACAAATAGGACCTGAGGCGCTTCACTGACCATACCATGGCCATGAGCTCTAGTTTACTGGAGTGGTAGTGCTGTTCTGCTTCTGTTAATCTCTTACTAACACAGTGAACTAGTCGCAGTTTGTCCAAAGGTGTATCCCTCTGGAACAACATACCGGCCAAGCCATATGCACACGCATCCGTGTGTAGTTCTGTCGTTTCGGCCTCGGGGTTAAACATCTTTAAAACAGGCTCTTGTGACAACACTTTCTTTAGTTGGACGAAAGCGTCCTCCTGTTTTGCTCCCATGTATATGAAGCCTCCTTCTTCGTCAGCCGAGTCAGTGGTTCCGCAAGGACAGCGTACCCTTTCACGAACCTTCTAAAAAAACTAGTCAGCCCTAGAAACCTCCGCAGTTCGTGTATATTGTTTGGTCTTGGAAAATCAGATATCGACCTTGTTTTCTCCCGACCAGGTTTAATTTCGCCCTTGGTAATTACAAAACCCAAAAATTCGATTTCTTTAGTTCCGAACATACACTTACCGGGTCTCAACGTAAGTTTGGCTTTTCTCAAGCACTTCAACACTAGTTCCAATTTGGTCAGCATATCTTCCCAGTCATTGGCCTCCAACACCCAATCATCCAAATAACTCTTGACTAATGTACAACGCAGCTCTCCCAGCACTACGTTCATCAGTCGTTGAAATTCCCCAGGTGCTCCAGCTAGGCCGAACGGTGTTCTTGTGAACTCACCCGTGTCGTCTGGTGTAATGAAGGCAGTTTTTTCTCTAGATTCCCTTGCTAGTGGCACTTGGAAATATCCATTAGCAAGGTCTAGCTGGACGAACAGCTGTCCGGTTCCGAGCAATGTAATCTGCTCATCCATGCTTGGTAGTGGAAAGTTTTGTCTCCGAGTCTGTCTGTTCAAGCGCCTATAATCAACCACTAGTCTTGACTTACCGCCTTTCTGTGATACCAGCAGCACAGGGCTCGCATATGGTGACCGCGTCTCCGTGACTATTCCGCACGATTTCCACTCAGCGATTATCTCGGCCATAGCTTTGCGTTCTGCCAATGACACCTTGTACGGTCTACAAGTCACCGGTTTGCTGCCTTCCTCTTCATCTATACGGAGCTCAGCCATTTCGGTACAGCCGAGTTCGTTTAGGTTTTTTGCAAAGGTGTCTCTGTATGAGTTAAGCAACACCAGCAACTTGTCCTTCTCCGCTCTTGTCGCTTCAGTGATTACATACTTAAAGTCTGCCTCCGTCAGCGGCTCTCTGTACAGCGACTCGTCAACTTCTGTCACATGTACCATAGCATCGGTGCTACTTGTTATATCTGAGTTTCCTGTCGACGTACTCAGACAGTTCTTATCAATCCTTTTTATGATCAGGTCGTTGCTGGTCTTGTAATATGTGACATAAGGTAGATCTAGCCAACCTCTACCTACTATCAATTCCGTGCGCTGTGCGTCGTCAGGTACTACCAATAACGTTACGGGTCCAGCTTCGACACCATCCACTGTTATACTCTCCAAAGCCCGTCCAACCGTTGTCGTGGTGGGCACGGTTACGCTACCAATTCCGTACAACGGTTGCGCGGCGTGCTCGATCACCAATCCAATTCTTTTGGCCACGCTTTGTTTTATTAGTGAGTAATGCGATCCTGTGTCTACTAGCAGACTTACTACAGCACCTCGTACGACTCCGTTCTTTAAATACCGGTGTGGGTTGTCAACTGCGACTCCCGTCGCTGTCACGTTGGTTTCTGCATTACTCCGTCCCGGACAATCTCTTTTTAAGTGACCTTTACCACTGCAACCATAGCATGTCAACTTCTCTCGACGCTGGAGACAATCGCGTCCGACATGGCCAGTCTTGTGACAATACCAGCACTCGACCTGTTCGCTACTTGGTAATTCTCCGTTAGTCGTAGCGGTCTTAGTTTCCCGTCGGTGCGGTGCTACGTACAACGGCACTTGATTCACAGTCGCCGTTGCATTTTTTTCAGGCCTTTTATACTTTTCGCTCCTTTTGTCGACCGGTTCATCTTTTCGGCTTATACCGTTACGCAAAGCATTCAAACGTTCCCACTCAAGGAGGTCTCCGAGCAACTGGTTTTCGTCTCCGTGTTTGTTGCTCAATGCGAAAATGGCCAGCTCGCGTGAATATACACCCTGCAACACATGATCCTTTATTTCATCGAAGGACAGCTTTAATTCCCGACACATCCTTATTTTTTCGTGGAAGAAGTCTACTATATGTTCGTTCTTTTGTTGGACGCGTTTTTGCATTTGGTTCCACTTGTCGGTGACGCGCATTCCCCTCGCGAACGTGGATTTAAACTTAGACGAAAAATCGTCCCAGTTTTCAAACTCACGTCCCAGGAACCAATTTCGTGCGGCCCCAACCAAACACGAGCGTATGAACTGCAACCTGTAGCCGTCTGGCCAGTTATTTATTCGCGCCAATGTGTTCACAGACTCGAACCAGTCTTCCGCTTCACACGCCGTTTCTCGTCCACAGAATTCTTTTACAGTTTTGTTTAGATCCGGAACAATGCGGAATTCAGTAGTAGCACTACCAACACGACTCGGGTCGTCACTGTTCAAGAAAGCATTTTGCCTTTGGTTCTCAGTCATGACCCTCAACTGCTCACCTAGCTGTTGTACCATTGTGTACAACTCGACGTAGGTAGGTGCTACCGGTGCACTCATAGCGGAACCTTGGTCACCATTCATTTTGTATCAATAATCAGCGTAACGACACGTTATCTGTTATCATCTATCAAACGCGACAATCACGACTCTACTAACCAACTACCGCGTACCACGGCGCAGTTCACCGGTAACGATAATTATAACCTCACTTCGCGAATGTTCTACGACAATAGTACTAACGTCGAAACGTCCCAACCACGCGTTCGTCATCCGCTACTCGCTAGGACTAAAATTGATTCTGCTTTCTTTGTTTTAACGATCTCCGGCCTCCGCTGTCTATGATCTGTCACAGCAACGTCAAGGACTTATGTCATCGCACAATTCGGGCGGCACTCGCGGATACGTCTCTTTCGTTCGGTTTAGCGCGACGGCAACACGCGAACGACTTCGAAAATCCCACTTCTGATGTTGTTAACTATATTTTATATATTAACTAGTTTATTAAACAATTTCAAGTACATTACATGACATT